TCCCGTCGCGGGGGTGGCAGCGGGGGTGGCCCCCCGAGGCAGGCGGCCCAGCAGCACGCGCCAAGTCAGGCAGCAGAGCCCTCCGCCTCTCCCGTCAGCATCCCTGGCGTTAAAACCTCTGTTGGTGAAATGCTGCTTCCCGCTAAGGCTGCATCAAGCCAAGAAAAGTTGCTGAGGTTTTGGGTCCTGTATCATCCCAAGTGTATGTTGGGAATGCTTGTGAGAACCGCGAGTAGAAAAGGGAAACGGGGAGATACTGCAGGAAGAAGATAGGAAGGTGAAGACGTGTTTTTCTCCTCACTTCCTCTGTATATCTCCTTAACCTTTTTTTTTTTTTCCTAATTTTTCTACCTCTTCTCTCCACCCTTCCACTTTTCAAGTTTACAATTGATAAAATTTTCTTAGAGGGATTGTTCTGTCACTGACGCCCCGACCCTTCGTGGTGGAGTCAACTCTTTCTCACCTTTGCCAGGATGCGCCTTGGCTTCAGGAGCGCGGCCGGTGCCGCGGGGCGAGGGGCCCCGCTCCTGGGGAGGCTGCGGGCTCCGCATTGTCCCCATCTGTGCTGGGCAGGTTTGGGAACAGAGCTCCCAAAGCACAGGCTGTCTGTCCCAGCTTCTCCCTCTCTGCCTCTCACAGTCACCAGGGAGAAAAGTGCCGTGAGAGGAGGATTCAGCCACAGCCAGAGCAGTCTGGCATTTACCAGGGTCATTCTGGCTTTAGGCAGAAATAAGTTATTGGGAAACTGTTACTTTTCCTCTGACACTAGTGCAGCGAAGGGCTATTGTGACTGTCGAGGTATCTGAGGCATGAAAGACTAATTTCCAGTCCTAGTGGGGATCCTGACTTCACGGACACATCTTTAGCTGCTCTCTGAAGAGAACAAGCCTCCTTCCCAGGAAATTGATTAGTATTTTTCATTAGAATTCTTGAAAATATTATTCTTCTGAATACTAATCATTCAGAATGTATTTGCTAAAGTGCAGTTCGCTCTGCTCTGTGTAGAAAGAAATGCTTATCACAATACCTCTCTGAGGAAACCTTCACAGTAGCACACAGCCAGAGTATTTGTCAGGGGTTAAATCAATAAATAAAGTAAGTGAACTTGCTTCTTATATGCAAAATGAAATGCAAAGTAAGAGACTCAAAACTCATTGAAGTATGTGCAAACAATAAAAGCTTATTAAGCATTTCACAGCAAGGACAGTGTTAGCGGAGCAGCACAGCTCCTACAGCAAGGATCTATTTGAAGCACCCCTTTTTAGGCAGAAGTACCCGAGTTCATGGGACCTATGAGCACTGCTGAGGGAGGCAGGAGCCGTGTTAAGGGTGAGAGTTTCCTGCTTTCTTTTCCCGATTCAGGGAAAAGCCTCCATCCCCGAATGGAAAGAAAGCTGTGTCTCACTCAGCTCCGAGCCGCAGTGGCTGAGCTGAGCAGGGAGTGATGGCTCCTGGAGAGACTGGCTGCTCCAAGTTCTCTGCCTGATTTTGGGGGGGGGTTTCTCTGAGGATCCCAGTAGTGAGATCACCAACCTGACCTGCCCGGCTGCTTGTGCTTTCCCACAGAGGGCACGGAGCAAATCAAACCTGCTGGCAACCCTTTCCACAGGAAACCATGAGTTAGCCTGAAAAATACATTAAACCCTCAGACATGCCCTTGGCTTGGCACCTGGAGCCTGCACTGTGTTCCTGGTGTGTTCTGGATGTTGCTGCTGCTCAGCACTGAAAGAGGAAGGAGGACTCTCTCTATGTCTCAGGGATCTCTGCCCCTCCAAAAGCCTGCTCCACCAGGCACTGTGGATTAACAAAGAGGGGTAAACTTAGAATATAAGCACATTCATAGAATCAATAATATATTCAATCTCTATCTGTGAAGACACAGATTGTAAAAGCAGACCCAGCTTGTTCAGATTTGCTCAGTTAGAAAATTAAGTGACATCAAGCCTAACCTTTTAAAATATGAAAATTATCAAAAAATAGCATTCTTATTACTTGCTAACATCCTACCTCAGACTGTCCCTTTCCATAAGCTACGCAACACATGGTTAATTCTTGCCTGGGAAAGTGCCAGGGAAGATTTAAATATGAAAGGGGATGTTGCTCATTCAGTAAGTAGGATTCTCTTACTCATTTATTATTGGCAAGAGATAAATCAAGAGAGGTTGGGGCTGGAAGGGACCTCTGGAGGTCATCCAGTCCAACTTCCCTGCTAAAATAGCCCATTACCCTTTGGAAAAACCTGAAAGTGTCTTGAGTTTTGGTGTTTTCTGGCAAGTCAATACCCTATAGAGGACTCTTTTTGAATGTTCAGTCTGGTCCAGACTTAGTCACATCCATGGTGCTCACAGGCTCATGTGCTGTTTGATGCTCACCAGAGATCAGGCACAATCCTGGTCCTTGAGCCTGACAGAGCTCGAGGAGGGTTTGGACAAGACTCTCAGGGATGCACAGGGTAGGATTATTGGGGTGTCTGTGCAGGGCCAGGGGTTGGCCTGGATGATCCCTGGGGGTCCCTTCCTGTTCTGTGTTTGCCTGTCCTGTTCTGAGAGCCTGGCTCTTGCACTTGCTGCCTAGCTTGGGTGGTCTGTGAGAGTTTAAATTTATAGTTTTGTGTAGAGGCTGAGCATGACATGACACTGTTTCAGAAATGTTTTGGTGTGGCTGATAAGGCCGTGGGTAAGCAAACAGCTGAAATAATTTTTTTCAAAGGAAGATAAAAGCAGGAAAAAGCCTGTGATACATATTTTTCTATGTAAAATTAATTAGGTCAGTGTAATATAAAAAAACAAGGATCCAGAAGTCATGCAGTGATTTGTGCTCAATCTTAACTCTGCCCTCCATCTCTCTCTCTTAAAATTCTCTCTTAAAATTCTCTCTCTTTCTTGGTTGCATTTCTTTCTTATTTCCCCCCAAGTCTCCTTAAATCTCTGCCTCACTTCTTGGTTCTGCTGCTGTGTTTAGATACCAAGGAATTTTATCCTGCAATTCAAGTTTGTCCTGTTGTTAGAATTTATATGTAGGTCACAGAACTCACAAATGGTTTGGGTTGGAGGGACCTCAAAGCCCATCCAGTGCCACCCCTGCCATGGCAGGGACACCTTCCACTGTCCCAGGCTGCTCCAAGCCCTGTCCAGCCTGGCCTTGGGCTCTTCCAGGGATCCAGGGGCAGCCACAGCTGCTCTGGGCACCCTGTGCCAGGGCTTGCCCACCCTCACAGCCAGGAGTTCATTCTAAATCTCATGTCAGTGTCTTCTCTTTCAGTTTTAGTTCTGAGCCCCTTTCACACTGTAGTTAAAGTATGTGTCCCCTCTTTGTGTCCTAAGGCAGGACAAATGTTCTGCTCTCATTCTGTGTGCTCACCACACACCCAGCGGTGCCTGCTCCTCTTCTGGATGAGCTGGATAATACCAGAAAAACTGACATTCTGAGGGGCCCATTTGCTGGACTCTTTGGAGATTCCTGGAGTAAAGAAGGAAATAGGAATCCCACTGCTGAGCAGGAGCATGGCCCGCATAAGTCAGTAATGCCTGCAAGATGAGCCCTGAGTCTGAAGTATTAAATAAAAAAAAGGAGAAAGCACAGACATAAAGATCTGAAATCTTTTAGGAACTGTGATGTTTCTGGTTTTTTTCCTGTCCTGGTTAAACATAATCCACTTTTAAGACCTGACATCTTATTCCTCTTAACAGTTTATTTGATTTCTACTTAAAGGCATGAAACTTCCTCATGCCTTTTCTTATCACAAATCTTTTACAAAGCTCTTGTAAAATATGATCATATTAGACTTTTTCCTTAGTTAAATGGAATGTATTTAGGCTTGATCTATGTACCTTAGACCCCTCCTCTAAAAAGGGAGAATACCTGACCCACTCTCAGGACCCTCCTGGCTTTCTCTGCCCCACAGTGCCTGTCTGGCTTGGATGACGCTTAGAGAATAAGGCTGCTCTTACCCTGACCAGCTCCTAAAGTATTTGAAATATCCCAAACTAAGCATGGTAAAATTACAGGCCATATTTTAAGGTATCTTCATGAGGCAGTAGAAAGTTCAGTTTTATTTTTCTGAGTCTGATCCTGAGTGGACTGATCATTACTGTTTGTAGGAATTGCCTTTTGATTTATGAAAGAAGTGATAAATTGGCTCCTCCAGGTTCTGTAGCTGAATCTGGAGGCTTGCCTGCAAAGTGTGGTCCAGACTTAATCCATCTAAGTATGCAACTTTAACCAAGCCTTTGTTCTAATGAGCCTTTCATAAAAGATTTCCTTTGTGCTTTTGTTGGTTTCTGTGATTTCTGCTTCTGTATCTTGTTTTGGTAAGTGGTATCAGGGAATGTTAGCAGGCAAAAACCAAATGTGTCCTCTTGTGCAGAGTCCTTGGGGAAGGACTGTGTCCTTGTATCCTGGAAAATAAAAAGCACTGTTAATGTAAGGTATCAAGCAACTCAAACATACAAGTGATAATTTAACAGGGATAAATAATAATGATATCAATATATCTCTAATATAAAAGGGACAAATTAGCAAGGAATACTTTGCTTCTTTGGGGAAAGAGAAAAATTCAGTGCTGGGTTTTAAAGGAATGGGTGAGCTGGTCACAGAGCTGATTCCCAGCTGTCCTTGGGGAGTGCGAAGTGGCAAGGTGGCAGTGACACCAAGGGCAGGGCTCACATGGTGCTGGGGACCTGGCTGATACTCTGGGCTCTGGGGCTCTCCAGAGAGAAATCAAACAAGAACAGAACAATTTTTGCTGTGAAAGTGGGAAGTAATTTTATAAAAAGGACTAAATGGAACGTATAACTCTAATTTAGCAATAAATATAATTAAATTTGAAGCATTAATTAAAGAAGTTATTTTATAAATGGCACAGAAATTTTTTTCTTGGTGGTTAAGCTGAGATTGAAGCCAAACCAGAGTTGGAATCAAGGACAGCTTTTATTAACAGATCATATTTTAAGTCGTGGAATAAACTGTGACTGAAGGAGAAGAATTCGTGCTGTGGTACTAAGTGCTCTGGGGCAAGAGCAGAAAAATGCCAGAAGAAAACACTTCCCATCTCATAAAGATGAAAAGCACAGGGACAAAAAAACACAGCCTTAGCATCAGGGTAGGAAGCTGAATACTGAAAGAGGGAAGGAAAAAATAAACCCCTCCCAAAATTACAGCTTCAGAAATTCCCTGAAAGCAAGGAGAAATAACAATGCTAAAATAGCTGATTCTATGTCTCGTCACCACTCCTTGTGGTTTCATGATTTCAGTGCAGTTCTGTGAGCTTATAAAGCAATAAAACATCAAATACCAGCATTTCAGTAGAAAATAAAAACCCAAACCAAAGTTTTCATCAAGTCATTTCTGAACAAAAACTAAATAAGCAAACTTGCTCATGGAATACTGTCAGAGGTTTTTGTGTGTGTTTTGTTAGGTTTTGTTTTAAAACATCACTTAAATGATTAATTACCTAGGCTGCCAGAGTCAAATTCGTCCACTATTTTCCATTTTAAGATGTTTTATTCTATTTTGATTCCATGCATTTCCATTCTAATATTTTTCTGTGCTTTAATTGGTCAGTCAGCTTTTCCATGCTTGCCATATCCATGCTTAGACTGAATTATCTTGGCAAGTTTCAGCACACACTGCTTTTCAGAATAAGATTATGAGGAAACATGAAAATCAGATCATGTTCTGTTCTTTTTTAAACATCCATGGGAACAGAAATTAGAGAAAGGTCAGACTAAGCAACTGCGATAAAGTACAAAGTCTTCAGAAATATGGATCTATTTTCATAGAATCATAGGATATTTCGGAGAATATCCTGAGCTGGGAGGGATCCACAAGGATCATCCAGTCTTGGCTCCGCACAGACTCCCCAGCAATCCTACCCTGTGCATCCCTGAGAGCATTGTCCAAGTTCTCTTGCCACAGGCACTTTAATTTGGACACCTCCACTGGTGAAAACCAAGGATTTTTATCATTAATTTTTCTGTTCTCTTTTCACATCTGTAACTGGCATGTTGCTTCCAAGAATGCCAGGAGCATAAAGTCACTTGGATGGCACAGTAATATTTTTTACATGAGGAAAATAATTCTGCCTTCCAAGAGAAGTTTAAATAATAAAAAAAAAGGGGTGAGACATCCTGAAAAATCAACACCTAATCATAATTCCAATATGCATTCTGTCCCTTCCATCTGAATCAAATGGATAAAACCACAGTTTGGAAGCAGGGCACACCATACTGTGTATGTTTTTGTCATCAACAAAACTTGAAGGAAAAATATCCTATTTTACCCATTTCACATGAATTGCAGCAGCCTATAAATCCTGCAGACTTGGATTCCCCACCTTTCCTTCACCCAGACCACCTTTTATTGGATAAATTCCTGTGGTTTTAACGGTGATGTGAAGCATTTCACCTGCTTTTGCCAATTGTGCAACACCCCCAGGACAGCTGTACTATCTTCTGACAAGATCAGCACACAGAAATACAACATTTTAGTGTATCATAGCCAGTAGAAAAGGGCAATGTTAATTCAGGCAGTCATTAAATAGAACAGGGCGTGAGCAAATAAAGTTGTGCTATGATTAAAGGGGTATATTTTTGATCCTGTGGTCATTAAGGTGTATTTGTACCAGTGCAATTAGAGGAGTCAGGTTTGCTCTGACTCACTGTATTTCGTCAGTCTTCAGTTGTTCAGATTTCCGCCATATCCTTTTTTCTTGAGAGAAACCGGTGATATATCACTCTGTATATAAATATACATGTGTGAAGAGAAGGAGAAATAACATTTCATTTGTACAAAAGGAGGAAAAATCACCCCCCAGCTTTATTGCTGACAACAGCTGAGGGAAATTTAAGTTCTTTCATTTTATTTGCAGCAAGACTTAAAAATAGATTTGCAAATTCAGACTGGAAACTCTTCTATCCTTTTCCAAAAAAGCAAAGCACATCACAAAATTGACAAATCAATTCCAATTGCTTCTTGCCCAAAGAAACAGCACTAAACCTCAAGGTGTCTTAGGTAAAGATTCCAAATCAGGAAATGAAAAGCTGAACAAGAAAATGCTGAGGTCAGGCAGGCTCAACCTTTCCTTATCCCTTCTTTTATCCCTTCTCTTTCATGCTGCTGGGAAGCACACAGAGGGGGTGAGAGGTACTGCTGCTGGGCTGGATCATTAGGAACAGTCTGTATTTAAAATTTCAGCCTGGGAGTGCCTGGTGTGCCCAACTCCCTCCCTCCCTCCCTCC